AAAAAAGTGTTGTATGCGCTTCTATGCCAAAACGATGGGAATACGAGGTCTCGGAGTGAAAATATAATTGACGCGACCAAACTGTATCGAGGACGTTGCTTTACATTTTTTCAATTTCGAGGTCGGAAGGTCGTGGCCAAAGTAACGGAGCGTTCTCTCGTTTCTCTTACCTCCGATTTTTGCACGGGCATCCTCATCTGGTCGAACGTATACGCGTATTTATTTCTTTTTTTTTATTTTTTGCCGAACAGGTATTTATTCCGGAGAGAGTTTGCATATTTTTGCCGAGCTCGACGTTTATCCCGGAGCGAGTTTTAATTTTTTTTCGAGCGATGCGTCGAACGCAAGGAAGCCACGATTTTTTTTCAGGTGCCGCATCAATCGCAAGGAAGCCACGATTTTTTTCCAGATCCCACGTCGATCGCAAGGAAGCCACGATTTTTTTTCCAGGCGCCGCATCCATCGCAAGGAAGCCACGATTTTTCTCCAGGTCCCGCGTCGATCGCAAGGAAGCCACGATTTTTTTCCAGGTGCTGCGTCGATCGCAAGGAAGCCCCGATTTTTTTTCCAGGTCCCGCATCAATCTCAAGGAAGCCACGATTTTTTTCCAGGTGCTGCGTCGATCGCAAAGAAGCCACGATTTTTTTCCAGGTCCCACGTCGATCGCAAGGAAGCCACGATTTTTTTCCAGGTCAAGGAAGCCACGATTTTTTTCCAGGTCCCACGTCGATCACAAGGAACGCACGATTTTTTTCCAGGCCCTGAGTCGATTGCAAGGAAGCCACGATTTTTTTCCAGGTCCCGCGTCGATCCCAAGGAAGCCACGATTTTTTTCCAGGTCCCGCGTCGATCCCAAGGAAGCCACGATTTTTCCCAGGTGTCACGTCCTCCCTGATTTTGCAGAACTTTTGACCGAGGATCCGAAATCGGGTCCCGGAGCAACGACCGCGTCGCGGCGCGATTCCGCACGAGGGACGCGCACCTGTTTTCGGCTCGACGGAGCCGATGCCAAGGCGCCGCGACGCCAACCGCGAGTCGATCACCCCGGGAAAATTTCCCCATTTCGTAACGCCGCTTCCGCGAGGTTTCCGGGCGATGCGAAATTCCCCTAGGATATCTTCGAGCCGCGTCGGGGACGATTTTGCTGGGAAAAATCCTTGACGGAACCGGCGCGGAACGATGACCCTGGGTCCGGGCGACGAGTTTCTCGTGCTTTTCCCTTCGAATGCGCGGGATTACGACACGATCGGCGGAATCGATGGAAATAGACTCTCTCCGTGGCCGTTTACTGCACCCGACCGGACTTAAATATAGCGGCCTCTTCGCGCTCAAACCGGGCGCGAGTTTCGTCTTCAAAGTATCCGGGGAACTATTTATTATCGATCTTCTGCCACGTTGGAATCCGGGGTGGTGCTCGAAAACGACGAGGAACGAGGAGGGGGGTTTGAGATCTTTCCGAGAGACATCCGAGTCGTCCGATCGGATCGATTAAGGTGAAGTGAAACCCCCCTCAAATCAGTCGATTCGAATACAACACTTTTTTTTAAGGGTATTAGACCAAACTGTCCGAAACTTTGACACATCTAAGAATTGTCCTGACACATACAAAATTTGGATTTTGCAAATAAATTTTTTAATTCAGCGCAGACCAGAAACAAAATGGCGTCGAGCTCTCATATTTCGATCAGTATACAATTATTGAAGGCTCTGATATGAGAATCGAAAGGGTCAGGACAATTTTACGACAATTTAGAACACTCTGGTAATCGATAAACTCGCATTTGAACGGGATAAAGGCAAAAAAAGTGTTGTATGCGCTTCTTTGGTAATACGAGGTCTCGGAGTGAAAATTTAATTGACCTGAAAATCACAGATGGCGCAGGGGGTCCATCGATGTTTCATTTCACCTTAAGATCGATGAACGATGTTGAGCTCTCATATTTCGATCGATATACAATTATTGAAGGCTCTGATATGAGAATCGAAAGGGTCAGGACAATTTTACGACAATTTAGAACACTCTGGTAATCGATAAACTCGCATTTAGTTCCTCGACGTGTTTCACTTCACCTTAATGGATCATTCGGACGTCTAAATCGACCGGGGCACCAAAAAAAGTGTTTTGTGCGCTTCTATGCTAAAACGATGGGAATACGAGGTCTCGGAGGGAAAATTTAATTGACCTGGAAATCACAGATGGCGCAGGGGGTCCCTCCGCAGTCAATTAGAGCCCCAAAAAGCACGAATCCAGAGGATTTCTGGAGCTTTACTTGGATTTCTTTATAATTATTGTACGAAAACGACGAACGGAGTATGCCATTTGGTACAATACCCAATATAATTCGATATAGCTGTCAGTACAAAACCAAACGTCGACAGCATAGGCATTTAGAAAAATCTCTTTATCGACGTTGATCGAGTTCCTCGACGTATTTCACTTCACATTAACGCCCTCTTTTTGCGTTTCAGTTCCTGCAAAATTTGGGGAAGGTCGACAGAACCGCCGACGACATATTCGACGAACACCTGCAGAACTTCACCAGGCAGCAGAATTCCGCCAATCGGCTGCAAAAGGAGTTCAACAATTACATCAGGTGTGTTCGAGGTAAGTCCTAGAACGACTCCGATCTTTGAGACATTTCGAGGTGTTGTTCGTATAAGGTTTAAGGTGAAGTGCAACACCCTTCAAATCAGTCGATTCGAATACAACACGTTTTTTTTAAGGGTATTAGACCAAACTGTCCACACATTTTACACATCACTCCTGATCATCTAAGAATTGTCCTGACCGGTTCAAAATTTGAGTTTTTGGAAAAAATTACTTACCTTAGCCGAGGCCAGAACCAATATGGCGTCGAGCTCTCATATTTCGATTAATATACAATTATTGAAGGCTCTGATATGGGAATTGAAAAGGTCAGGACAATTTTACGACAATTTAGAACACTCTGGTAGTCGATAAACTCGCATTTGAACGGGATAAAGGCAAAAAAAGTGTTGTATACGCTTCTATGCTAAAACGATGGGAATACGAGGTCTCGGAGTGAAAATTTAATTCACCTGGAAATGACAGATGGCGCAGGGGGTCCCTCTGCAGTCAATTAGGGCCCCAGAAAGCATGAATCCAGAGGATTTCTGGAGTTTTACTTCGATTTCTTTATAATTATTGTACGGAAACGACAGGTAGAATATGCCTTTTGGTACAATACACAATATAATTCGACCCAGCTGTCAATATAAAAACCAACGTCGGCAACGTAGGCATTTAGAAAAATCTTTATCGACGTCGATCAAGTTCCTCGACGTGTTTCACTTCACCTTAAGCATTTCCATAAGCTCGCGTCGACCTCCGTCAGCTGTAACGCGATACAGCGTCCTGCCGCATGCGGAATAAAATCCCGCCGCGTATTTATAGAGTCAACTCGAGTCACTCGAGATGGGAATGAAAAAACGCGAGCGATCTTACGTCACGAGGCGGCCCCGTTTTCCGCGGAATAATCGCGCCAATTATTTCTCCCTTGAATGCGGCCTTGCGGGACGAGGGCGGCTAAAGGTCGAGGTCGCTTCCGGGTCGTCCCTGCGGAATTTTCCCGCGCCTCTTGTTTATTCGTTCCATTACTTTTCTCAGCCGTTTCTTTTAAGGTGAAGTGAAACAGGTCGAGGAACTTGATCGACGTCGATAAAGAAGATTTTTCTAAATGCTTATGTTGCCGACGTTGGGTTTTATATCGGCAGCTGGGTCGAATTATATTGAGTATTGTACCAAATGGCGTACTCCACCTGTCGTTTTCGTACAATAATTATAAAGAAATCGAAGTAAAACTCCAGAAATCCTCTGGATTCATGCTTTCTGGGGCCCTAATTGACTGCGGAGGGACCCCCTGCGCCATCTGTAATTTCCAGGTCAATTAAATTTTCACTCCGAGACCTCGTATGACCATCGTTTTAGCTAAGAAGCGCACACAACACTTTTTTTGCCTTTATCCCGTTCAAATGCGGGTTTATCGATTACCAGAGTGTTCTAAATTGTCGTAAAATTGTCCTGGCCCTTTCGATTCTCATATGTGCCCATAATTATGAAAGTGGTCTAAGTCAAAATTAAAAAAAAAAAATGAGTTTATCAGTTATTTCACGCCACATTATTTCAAACTAAATTAATTCAATGTAATTTCGAAACAAAAAATATATGACTTAGACCACTTTCATAATTATGGGTACATGTAAGAGCCTTCGATAATTGTATATCGATCGAAATATGAGAGCTCGACGCCATTTTGGTTCTGGTCTGGACTGTGTCAAAAAATTTGTTTGAAAAATCCAAATTTTCAATGTGTCAGGACAATTTTTAGATGATCAGGATGTGTCAAAGTTTCGTACAGTTTGGTCTAATACCCCTAAAAAAACGTGTTGTATTCGAATCGACTGATTTGATTACAGTTAAACAATAAAAAAAAAAATCTAAATTTTCAATGTGTCAGGACAATTCTTAGATGATCAGATGTGTCAAAGTTTCGGACAGTTTGGTCTAATACCCTTGAGAAAAGTGTTGTATTCGAATCGACTGATTTGAATACAGTTAAACAATTTAAAAAAAAATCCAAATTTTCAATGTGTCAGGACAATTCTTAGATGATCAGGAGTGATGTGTCAAAGTTTCGGACAGTTTGGTCTAATACCCTTAAGAAAAGTGTTGTATTCGAATCGACTGACTTGAAGGGGGTTTCACTTCACCTTAATGGATCATTCGGACGTCTAAATCGACCGGGGCACAAGAGTCCGTTGAAACGGAAGGAGGTCGTCGGCCGTCCTCGTTCGACGCGCCAAGGCGCTTTCCCCTTCGATAATGCCCGTGCGGACAAAACGCGCGGTTCAAACGTCGACGGAAGAAAATCCGAGAATTCCCAACCCTCTCGCGTCTCCAAATGTCGATCCAATAGTTTTTCGACTCTCCGGAGGGAGTCAGAAAATGCGAGAAAAAAATGATATCCCTCCACTCTTCCAGGCCAGGTGAATGCACCTCGCCAACCTGGAGAAGTGGGACGAGAAAGTAATCGCAGGAATTGTCCGCAGCTTCGATAAAGCGAGGGGAAGGGGAGAAAAGAAAAGAAAATATCGGCCACGTTAAGGGGAAGTGAAACACGTCGAGGAACTTGACCGACGTCGATAAAGAAGATTTTTCTAAATGCCTATGTTGCTGACGTTGGTTTTTATATCGACAGCTGGGTCGAATTATATTGGGTATTGTACCAAATGGCGTACTGCACCTGTCGTTTTCGTACAATAAATATCAAGAAATCGAAGTGAAAAATAAGCGTTGTATTCTAATCGACTGATTTGAAGGGGGTTTCACTTCACCTTACCTTCACTTTAAGCCTTAAGGTGAAGTGAAACACCCTTCAAATCAGTCGATTCGAATACAACACTTTTTTTTAAGGGTATTAGACCAAATTGTCCGAAACTTTGACACGTCATTCCTAATCATCTAAGAATTGTCCTGACACATTCAAAATTTGGATTTTTTAACAAAATTTTTCAATTCAGCCCACAACAGAACCAAAATGGCGTCGAGCTCTCATATTTCGATCAATATACAATTACCGAAGGCTCCGAGATGAGAATCGAAAGGGTCAGGACAATTTTACGACAATTTAGAACACTCTGGTAATCGATAAACTCGCATTTGAACGGGATAAAGGCATTTTTTTGCCTCTTTTTTGGGTTGTATGCGCTTCTATGCTAAAACGATGGTAATACGAGGTCTCGGAGTGAAAATTTAATTGACCTGGAGATCACAGATGGCGCAGGGGGTCCCTCTGCAGTCAATTAGAGCCCCAGAATGCATGAATTCAGAGGATTTCTGGAGTTTTAGTTTGATTTCTTGATAATTATTGTACGAAAACGACAGGTGGAATATGCCATTTGATACAATACACAATATAATTCGACCCAGTTGTCAATATAAAAACCAACGCCGGCAACGTAGGCATTTAGAAAAATCTTCTTTATCGACGTCGATCAAGTTCCTCGACGTGTTTCACTTCACCTTAACCAGCTAGCTGTGTTTGACGAGTATACTCGTCATGGAAACACACGTTTCAAATAGGTCGACACAGTTAACTGGTTAAGCAATTTGCCTTCGTTAATGTTCGCAGCAGTGCAGGCGGCCTCGAAGACCCTGATGGACTCCCTGAACGAGATCTACGAGAGCCAGTGGACGGGCCACGACCTCCTCTACGTGCAGGCACAGAACCTGGACATGCTCTGGCAGGACTTCACCCACAAGTTGGCCGATCAAGTCCTGGTGCCCCTCAACACCTACCAGAGCCAGTTTCCGGAGATGAGGGTAAGTCGACTGTTCCGTGCGCGGTACTCATATATGTAAATTCATCGCGGACTTTGAAATGTCAGACAAATTCCCAGAAAGGGACTTACCGCCTGCTTGGGCCCATCGGGCCATTTACCAATTTAGCAATTTCCTGACTCCGAAATCGGTTCGTAAATTTTAGTTCTCTACGATACGACTATATTGCCCCGTCCGTCCCATCGAGAAGGTTTAGGGTTCTTTAGAATTTTCTTGGGTTGACCGTCTCTATTCTTTACCGTCATACCTTTTTTAACTTTACCACTTACACGTGCGCGCAACATGCACACGGGCATACGGCATGTTTTTCCATCTGCACGGCAACTAGAAATTTTCCGTTTTCACTTCGTGAATTTAATATTATAATAAATTTATAATATTCGTCGTCCATTTAATATTATAATGAATTTAAGTTGTTTCGTTCGCGACAGTCTCACTCTTCATTCGGGTACCTTCCTTCTTCACGTGAGCAGTTGTATGAATATCCCATTTTGCAATTCCAATTGCAAAAACCTGAAGGGCTGACAAAATTCAATAAGTCAGTCGTCCATTTAATATTATAATAAATTTAACTTGTTTTGCTCGCGACAGTCTCACTCTTCATTCGGGTACCTTCCTTCACGTGAGCAGTTGTATGAATATCCCATTTTGCAATTCCTATTGCAAAAACCATCGGGATTCATACAACAACTGCTCCTCCGGGTCGGGCGAGATCGAAGACTCTTGAGGCGTTACTCGAACGTCTCCATCGACTTTCAGAAAAAGGTGGACAAGAGGGGCCGCAAGCTGGTGGACTACGACGGACAGAGGCACAGCTTCCAGTCTCTTCAGGGCAATCCGAAGAAGAGGGACGAGCTGAAGGTGTCCCGGGGCAAGGAGCAGCTCGAGGACGCCAAACGGACGTACGAGCAGCTCAACTCCGAACTCCACGACGAGCTTCCGGCCCTGTACGACTCCAGGGTCCTCTTCTTGGTCACGAATCTGCAGACCCTCTTCGCAGCCGAGCAAGTTTTCCACGCCGAGAGCGCCAAGGTGCGTCCACGCCGACCTGGACAAGGTCCACTTTGCGTTACGTAAACGCTTCGTACCGTCTAACTTGGATTCGTAGATCTATAGGTGTACGGGTTTATGGATTTATGGTTTGTCTTGAAGGTATAAACCTTTCCTCGGGTTTCAGGTCTACTCCGAGCTCGAGGCGATAGTCGATAAGCTGGCCAACGAGAGCCAGAGAGGATCCTACACCCTGAAGAAGCACTCCGAGCCGCAGTCGCCCAAGTCACCCAACGCCAACTCCTCGTAAGGGAACCATACATACATATTGGGTTGTTCGGAAAGTAATTTCTTTTTTTTTTTTTATGAAGATGAAAGACGATTTTTTTATAGCGAAGAAATATTTTATTGAATTATATGTTGTCCGTTCCGGTCCGATACCTTTTGCCATCTTTCTGGTAGGAGCATGATTCCACGATCATAAAATGTTTGCTTTTTGCTGGCAAAAAACTGATCCAGGGGATTTTTGACCGCCTCATTTGAAGGAAAGGTTTTATCGTCTAGAAAATTTTGTAGAGACCGGAACAAGTGATAATCGGAAGGTGCCAGATCTGGAGAATATGGTGGGGGTGGCAGGATATCCCATCCAAGCTGTAGATGCTTTTGGCGAGTTAAGAAACTTGTACGAGGTATCGCATTATCTTGGCGAAACGCTACACCTTTTCTATCGATCGATGCCGGTCTCTTCCGTTTAAGTGAATCATTCAATTTGTCCAGCTGGGGACAGTACACTTCGGAATTGATCGTTGGGTTGTTCGGTAGAATCTCAAAAAAAAAAAACGATTCCTTTGAAATCCCCCCAAACGGATGCCATCACCTTTTTTTGATGAATTTCGACTTTCGAAGTTCTTTGAGCCGGTTCATCTTTTTTACTCCATGACCTCTTGCGGGTAACATTGTCGTGGACAACCCATTTCTCGTCCCCAGGGATGATGCGCTTCAAAAATGGATCATTTTCTTGACATTTGAGAAGCAAATCACGGACGTCAATGCGATGACACAAATTTCTTTCCGGAAGAACACGAGGAATCCATATGTCGAGCTTTGAGATTAAACCTAGGCGTTTCAAATGATCACGAACGCTCGAATTCGATAAATTTAATCTCTCAGCGATTTCCCGAGTTGTTATTCCCCGGTTTGCATCAATTAATGCCTTTATCGTGTTTTCATCAGCTTTAAGTGGCCTTCCAGAACGTGGGGCATCTTCGATATCAAAATTGCCGGATCGAAATTTTGCAAACCAGTTTCGACCCTGGCGTTCCGTCAATACATCTTCTCCATACACATCGGATAATTTTTCTCTCGCTTGAACAGCACTTTCACCTTTTCGATAGTAAAAAAGTAAAACATGCCGAAAATGCCGCTTTTCACTTTCCACATTTGAAAGGGTACCAACCAAAAACCACTGCGTAGAATCAATCAAACTTTTTCACAAGCAAGCCTTGCTAGATCAGCCGTCAAACTATATAATAATTACGCGGCTTAAGTGTGATTTTGGCCGTGGAAAAAAAAATCAAGTCCTCCGTTGGGAAACAAGGAAATTACTTTCCGAACAACCCAATGCATGCCCACGTATATTTCATGCAAATGACGACGCGAGACGCAAAAGAGCGGCCCCTCCTCGTTCCTCGTGGGTGGACTGACGCGGTTTTCTGCTTTCAGGCTGATCATCAACACCCGACCTGCCCAGAACAACATCTCATCAGGTAAAGCCGTAGCCCCGTTTGGTCTCCACGTAGTCACGTAAACTAATGCTCGGCATGCTTGACAGGGTGTGGAACCCCAGAGTTGTTTTCTTAGAAAACGGCGTAGCGTAGCTCGCCGCTAGATACCAGTGTGGTTTGTTGCGTGTTCCAGCTTTGGATGATCCCATGGCGGCTGCTGGAGACACCTCGCCGACCACCCAATTAAATGGCAACGCTAATAGCAATGCTAACAGCAATGATAACTCCCTGAATAACCAAGACGCCTCCCCGCAAAACGCAGACGCGCCCGTTAAGGGAGTCGAAGAGTTGTACGATATCCCAGCTGGTAAGTACTACGGGAATCGTATGCTTAAAAAATAGACACCGCCTGGTTGGACCGCTTAGATAGCACCGTTTCATTTAAGGTGAAGTGAAACATCCTTTCAAATCAGTCGATTCTAATGCAACACTTTTTTTTAAGGGTATTAGACCAAACTGTCCGACACTTTGACACATCTAAGAATTGTCCTGACACATTGAAAATTTGGATTTTTCAAAAGAATTTTTTAAATCAGTCCAGGCCAGAACCAAAATGGCGTCGAGCTATGATATTACGATCGATATACAATTATCGAAGGCTCTGATGTGAGAATTGAAAGGGTCAGGACAATTTTACGACAATTTAGAACACTCTGGTAATCGATAAACTCGCATTTGAACGGGATAAAGGCAAGAAAAGTGTTGTATGCGCTTCTTTGCTAAAACGATGGTAATACGAGGTCTCGGAGTGAAAATTTAATTCACCTGTTAATCACAGATGGCGCAGGGGGTCCCTCCGCAGTCAATTAGGGCCCCAGAAAGCATGAATCTAGAGGATTTCTAGAGTTTTACTTCGATTTCTTTATAATTATTGTATGAAAACGACAGGCGGAGTATGCCATTTGGTACAATACACAATATAATTCGGTATAGTTGTCGATATAAAAACGAACGTCGGCAACATAGGCATTTAGAAAAATCTTCTCTATCGACACCGATCAAGTTCCTCGACGTGTTTCACTTCACCTTAAGGCGATCTGGAAGTGTACAATTGTTAAGGCGAAGTGAAACCCCTTTCAAATCAGTCGATTCGAATACAACACTTTTTTTTAAGGGTATTAGACCAAACTGTCCGAAACTTTGACACGTCACTCCTGATCATCTAAGAATTGTCCTAACACATACAAAATTTGGATTTTGTAAACAAATCTTTTAATTCAGCCCAGACCAGAAGCAAGATGGCGTCGAGCTCTCATATTTCGATCAATATACAATTATCGAAACCTCTGATATAAGAATCGAAAGGGTCAGGACAATTTTACGACAATTTAGAACACTCTGGTAATCGATAAACTCCCATTTGAACGGCATAAAGGCAAAAAAAGATCTTGTTTATCGACGTTGATGAAGTTAATCGACGTGTTTCACTTCACCTTAAATATGGTATCCTATCCTAGAAACTACTTCGCGACGAGAGTTCCCACGTTTTGTGTTCCCAGATCTCATTTTACCCCCTCAACATAGACTGCTGTTTTCTTTTCTAGGCGCAACAACCGACAATCTGCCTCCTGGTGTTCTCTACAGGGTCAAGGCCACGTACAAGTACAGTCGCGAAGACGTGGACGAGTTGTCCTTCGACGTTGGTGAGATCATTCGTGTCGTGGAGTACGACGATCCTGAAGAACAGGTGAGGTCTTTTGAAAAATCTGAGCCGTATATTCGAGGGAAGGTTGAAGGAGGTTTTAATCAAGGATGGCTGTAATGTTTTAGGAGGAGGGCTGGCTCATGGGGGTCAAGGAAGGGACCAACGAGAAGGGGATGTTCCCGGCGAACTTCACGAAGCCTCTGTGAGGTCCTCCACCGGACAAGTACACTCCAATGCTCACAGGAACGGCGTAGATGTATTTCAAAGGAGGTGGATCGACGAGAGGAAGAAATAAGAAGAGGGCAAGTCGGTCCTGGTCTCGAGGATGGATTTTTCGTTTCAAACGAGACGAAGAGGCGACGGATGAAGATGTGAAAATATGAAAATGTAAAAAGATGAGATGGTCACGCTGGAAGGTGCCGCGGTGAAATCAATCGGCCCAAAGTGCCTTATCCCAGCTGTTGTCTGTGCCAACAACCAAGATTTTTCTTTCTCTTTCTTTTCTCTGCTTGTAAGGTGGGATTTATCATATCTCATATCGAGCATACGAATGCGTACACACCTATACGCGCGAATAATCACCCCGAATAATCAAATGAGGTATTTAATTAATTGAATTATCGAATAATATATATATGGATGATATACTGTACCCGCAATATTACTATTACGAAGAATCTATATTACGGATTGATGTTATTATTCCGCGAGATTGTACATAGGTTTGTAACGTTTTAAGACTATCGAGAGAGGACTGCTGTGAAATTCACGTTAAGGTGAAGTGAAACCCCTTTCAAATCAGTCGATTCGAATGCAACAATTTTTTTTAAAGGTATTAGACCAAACTCCGAAACTTTGAGACATCTAAGAATTGTCCTGACACATAGAAAATTTGGATTTTGTAAACAAATTTTTTAATTCAGCCCAGACCAGAAACAAAATGGCGTCGAGCTCTCATATTTCGATCAATGTACAATTATTGAAGGCTCTGATATGAGAATTGAAAGGGTCAGGACAATTTTACGACAATTTAGAACACTTTGATAGTCGATAAACTCACATTTGAACGGGATAAAGGCAAAATAAGTGTTGTATACGCTTCTATGGCAAAATGATAGTAATACGAGGTCTCGGAGTGATAATTTAATTCACCTGTTAATCACAGATGGCGCAGGGGGTCCCTCTGCAGTCAATTAGGGCCCCAGAAAGCATGGAGTTTTACTTTGATTTCTTTATAATTATTGTACGAAAACTACAGGTGGAGTACGCCATTTGGTACAATACCCAATATGATTCGATATAGCTATCAATATAAAAACCAACGTCGGCAACGTAGGCATTTAGATAAATCTTCTTTATCGACGTCGATCAAGTTCCTCGACGTGTTTCACTTCACCTTAAGGCGGTCTGGAAGTGTACAATTGTTAAGGGTTGACTCGTTGCGAGTCGGTGCCAAATTCTGAAGGTCCAATTAAATGTGGAATTAATCTCCAGTAGTTGAGTGTAACGAAGGTACTTTTTCGTTATGCCAAACATGGGTCCATAATGAGCTCTCATGATTGAGAAATACACATTTAACAAATTTAAGCGAAGAAATTTGGCGAGGGGGGGGAGTTGATATCGTTAGAAATTTTATGGGAAGATCCAAGAGGAGGAGGACACATATCCGTCGAGGCTCGACTCCATTTTTTAAGCAGCTAATTGTCGTCTCGACGAAGCGTCGCTGGTAATTTTCTCTTAAAAAGAGATTGCGACGGGAAGGCATTTTCTTTTTACAAAGAGGACCCATCGGGGCCTATTTATATTCGAAACTGTAGTTATCCTTTTACACGTAATGGTACTTCCTGCATGTACATGCCTATGTAGAAAGTGTAACGGCGATTATTTAAATAACTCAGCAACGTTATCGCTGCCATTGCGACTGTTTACGTAATTACTCTAACAATGTAGAAAGTTTTTTCGACAATTTTTCTAGGATCGACGAATACCGGTCGTCGGGCCGATCTATTAGGAATGGTGTATGACGAACAAAGTTTACAATTATACAGATACATATTATATGAATATATACGTAGAGTAATTTTTAGAGTACACGATTATATCAGCTTCGGAGTAGGCGCGTGTCTTTTCATTTTACCATGTTGATCTGAGAGATAACCGAATATAGGGAAGTTGGATTGTTCTTTTGTAAATTATAAAAGGTTTATGTTTATAGAGTTGATCCATTGTCATACTGGTTTCGAGGTCTTGACACGTCGCTCTCGGTTTGCCGGGATGGTTAATTATTGTACCGCGATTGTAAGATTATTAAAAGATATTTATGAAGAGATGGGGATGACTTTTCGACGTGCTCTCGAGTCAATTGCGAAATTAGTTTTTCCTATTTTTACGTACTGACCAGCGTGTACGGTAAGAGTATGCTCTTAAGTACATTGAGGAAAAAATCCGAGTGCAAGTTTACATACTCACTTATTAGTCGTTTTATGGACTTTCCGGGAAATAATCATTAAATTCTCAGCACCATGAATCAAGTTATCGCCAATTTTGCTCGAGAGGATGTGAAAAACTGGTCGTAGCATAAGTAAGCGATCGCTCTGTCCATATTTATATTTTGGTAAATACTAGCCTAAGATAATTGCGCGAGTGCGAGCCTAATAGCTTTAAACCCTTCCTTAAGGTGAAGTGAAACACCCTTCAAATCAGTCGATTCGAATACAACACTTTTTTTTAAGGGTTTTAGACCAAACTGTCCGAAACTTTGACACATCGAAGAATTGTCCTGACACATTCAAAATTTGGATTTTTTAAATCAGCCCAGACCAAAACCAAGATGGCGTCGATCTCCCATATTTCGATCAGTATACAATTATCGAAGGCTCTGATATGAGAATCGAAAGGGTCAGGACAATTTTACGACAATTTAGAACACTCTGGTAATCGATAAACTCACATTTGAACGGGATAAAGGCAAAAAAAGTGTTGTATACGCTTCTATGCTAAAACGATGGTAATACGAGGTCTCTGAGTGAAAATTTAATTGACGTAGAAATCACAGATGGCGCAGGGGGTCCCTCCGCAGTCAATTAGGGCCCCAGAAAGCACGAATCCAGAGGATTTCTGAAGTTTCACTTCGATTTCTTGATAATTATTGTACGAAAACGACAGGTGGAGTATGCCATTTGGTACAATACATAATATAATTCGATATAGCTGTCGATATAAAAACGAACGTAGGCATTTAGAAAAATCTTTATCGACGTTCATCAAGTTAATCAACGTGTTTCACTTCACCTTAAGGTCACCTTAAGGTGAAGTGAAACCCTTAAAATCAGTCGATTCGAATACAACACATTTTTTTAAGGGTATTAGACCAAACTGTCCGAAACTTTGACACATAATTATTGTACGAAAACGACAGGCGGAGTATGCCATTTGGTACAATACCCAATATAATTCGACCCAGCTGTCTATATAAAAACCAACGTCGGCAACGTAGGCATTTAGAAAAATCTTTATCGACGTCGATCAATTTAATCGACCTGTTTCACTTCACCTTAAGGGTTGTAAGACCCGCGTAGGAATTGAATTTCCCTTCGGTTTCGAAAAAATCTATTTCTTTTCGATTCCTCGACTCGGCCGGGAGCGATTCATTGTTACGTCACTTGTCACATTTATGTCATGTTGTTTAATTTTACCGGAGCCGTAAGTCGTACCGTCATAACCTTAACATAAAGTACTGTATAGGACTTCTAACGCGTCATCGCTCTTTAATCGCCTGTCTCGATTGGATTTCGATAACAATAAATAGCTAGTGGTTTTTAATAAAATGTCTGATTGTCAAGAGGACCTTCCTCGAGGTAGCCACGTGTCTTTTACCGCGTCCGCCCCTTGTCGATGTGAGTGTACATTAGTTGAGAAAATGCCGAAAAATTTGGGGAAGACCTCGTCTAGGGAATCCCCTTTCTGTATTTAATTTCCACGCGATTCGTACGTCCCTTCTGCGGGTTTTAATTTTTTTGTTGCTTAGTATAGTTCCAGGATGCCGTAGACGAAGCAACGAGACCCAAGGAAGAGGACCTCGACTCTGGTGAATCGCCTGAAAGTTATGTCAAGATCCTTGGACCGAAAATGTCGGTATACTCGCTGGAGCGAACCGCTTCTTCGAAGACGACGTCCAGGACGTTTACCGACGACCTCGGAAGAGGACGCTTCTTCCAGAAGACGGTCGAGGTCTTCTTCGCCGCTTCCGAATGCACCGCATCCACCTGTTCCACCTGTGGAAAGTAATACAGGGTGTTGCACCTGCTGCCGTAGAGAGTGCACCAAGAGGAGGTCCTCCAGAACCTGCGTACCCGGCGAGCCGAAGGCACTTTGCTATTTTAAATTATATGTAGCGATTATTTTATCGAATCGAAGGAAGCCACGACGGTCGCTGAATCAGCAGCGGCATTGCTTAAGGGGAAGTGAAACACCCTTCAAATCAGTCGGTTCGAATACACCTTTTTTTTAAGGGTATTAGACCAAACTGTCCGAAACTTTGACACATCACTCCTGATCATCTAAGAATTGTCCTGACACATTCAAAATTTGGATTTTTGGAAAAAATTGTTTAACTGTAATCAAATTAGTCGATTCGAATACAACACTTTTTTTAAGGGGATTAGACCAAACTGTCCGAAACTTTGACACGTCACTCCTGATCATCTAAGAGTTTTGTCCTGACACATTCAACATTTGAATTTTTCAAAAGAATTTCTTAAGGTGACGTGAAACACCCTTCAAATCAGTCGATTCGAATACAACACTTTTTTTTAAGGGTATTAGACCAAACTGTCCGACACTTTGACACATCTAAGAATTGTCCTGACACATTAAAAATTTGGATTTTTGGAAAACATTTTTTAACTCAGCCCAGAC